GTGGATGTGTCTGTGGTCAAACCTCTTGGCTTTGCCTTGGCCTTTAAGGGGGCAACATAGAGCAGAAGGGTTTGGATAAATTATACTGCAATCCAGAAACGAAGATGGTTTGGGTTGGAAGGGCCATAAACTCATCCCATTCCACCCCTGCCAAGGGCAGGGACACCTTTCACTGTCCCAGGGTGCTCCAAGCTCTGTCCACCCAGGCCCTGGACACTTCCAGGGATCCAGGGGCAGCCACAGCTGCTCTGGGCACCCTGTGCCAGGGCCTCACTAGTTCAATCAATGCCATCTACTGAACAGTATTATTTTAGTACCCTCTTTCCCTAAAAGGCTTATTTTTGTAGCCATATCCAAATTTTAGTCTGTTTTATTGTAATACTGCTCCTGGAGGATGAAGAGTGCTCATAGCTCTTTTCTGGACTGCCAGATTTTCAATCATAAACTCATTTTACTGTGAATGTAGTTGTTTTGCAGCAGAGAATTATGGCTTTGGATTTTATTTGCGGAGCAGGAGAGTCCCTGCTGCTGCAGGATTGTATCCTACAGCAATCCCTCTTTTCCAGGGAGAGCTGGGTTACCTGGACTGCCACACAAATAGTGGCCACGTTTATCTGTCCTTCGTGCAGGGCTTCTGCCAGACTCAGGAACATTCCACTACAAATCAGGTGCTGTTTCAAACTTGCTTTGTTCTATAAGCCTGGCGGATTGGAGAGTTCAGCCTCCACATCCATAGATACATAAATATGCCCTGTGTGGTCTCCCAAGGGGAAGGCAAAATGTGTTTTTAGTTAAGTTGCATGGGAATTTAATTGAAAGATTTAGGGCAATGCCATAAAAGAGTAAATCATGGCTGCGTGACACAAAGAAGATTTATAAAGCCAAATAAAAATACTTTAGCACCTTCCCTATTATAATTTGCTTGATATAAGTGGAAACCTGTATTAGTCATTTTGTCTGCTGGTAATTAAAAAAAAAAAAAAAAAAGCTTTTATATTTCACTGGTTTTCAGTCCTTTGGAGTGACATAATGGGGAAGACAGTAGCAAAGGGCAGAGAATTCTGTGGACATGTCACATCTCTGAACCTGCAAGTGCACTCAGCTTCCTTCCCAGGAATATTTATTTTAGTTAAGCACATGCTTAACTAATTTCACACAAGCAGCTCCTCAGAAGGACTGTGAACTGATTCAGATGAAGCACAGGCATGGCTTTAGACTACAGCTTGTGTGGATGGTGGCCTAAATCTGGCCAGTCTCCAAGGCAGTGAGACTACTGCATGTGGGCTGGTCCTGCTCTGTGCAGGAAGGTCACTTGTCACACAGCAAAATGCTCGGGGATATTTTGGAGAGGAGAGCTGGGGCAGAGCTTTAGGAATGTGACCTTCAGCACAGGTTTAGTGAGGATTCACTCAGTGTATTTATTGGAGAGCACTGTATATATTAAATGCTGCAGTGTTGATAGGTCTCGATAAGGACACCATAATAGCAGTTGAATTGTAGGGGGTTTTGTGAGATGGTAAGTTAATGATGTAGCTGTTAATTTGAATTTAGCAGACGTTTTAAATATAGGTTTCTCTTACAGAGACAAAAGTTGCAATTTAAAGCTCTTTGGTGGTCTAAAAACAGCTTAATTCTCTAGTAGCATGGTAATAAGTACTAATCCAGCTTATACAGTGATTGTAGTATGTCATGTTTGTGAAAGATTGCCTAACTCTGCTTTCTCTGGGTTTTATGTTAATTTTTTTAAATTAAACATAAAACCTTATAACATCTTTATGCTGAGATAAACTGTTCAATTTAACTTGTGCTCAAGCAGCAGCTGTCAGGAATTATCATGTTTTGAGCGTTCTTGCCATCACCTTGTGTCTCTACCTCCCGGATACACTCTCTGGGATGATAAAGCTCACCTTGTTAGGATTTATTACTTAAATAATAACCCGAGGTGAAATGAAAGTTGATGTCACACGGAATGACAACTGACATATATTTATGTCACACGTTCCATTATAATAAACTTTCCTTTCTTCCCCCTGTAATAGGTGTTAAATGGAAATACACTCCAGCATATCCTCCAGTGCCCTGCGTGAGTCCATTAGCCATGAACGTGGCTGCTCTGTGGGCATGTTCACGGGGACTCATGCTGTCAGGTGTTATTTAAGCTTGTAAAGCCAGGGAAATTGGTTAGTGCTGGTAGTTAGCAGCTTCTCTGCCAGTAAAGAAAGAGTTGGGATGAATTCTGGAAGTGCGGCAAAGTAATGGAAGTGAATCAAGGAGGGTGTTTCCTAATCAGTGGTTTTATTTTAGTTGTTTTCCTTGCTGCAAGAAGCATAGGCAATGTCACTTCAGACTCTACATCTGAATTTGCTAGTCATCACCACAGTTTTCTCTTGACACCAGTTTATTGTGCTGAGCTGGGCAGTGATAAGAGATCTGCTTGTTAGTTGAGTCTTATCACTTTCTATTTACAGTGGAGAAAATTTAGACCTACCTCTTGCAAGCTTTCCAAGTTTTCAGCCTTTTTTGCCATGATAGAAACCAGGCTCCAGCGTACTCTAATGATGCTATTGAATTCCTCCAGTTTGCCTAAGCCAAGACTGCAGACATTGGGTTCTTTTTGCCTGTGCCTATAACCATATTTTTTTTCTCTCCTAATTATCCTATTGTTGATCTGAGCAAGTTAAGATGTGTCAGAGCTATATGGTTTTGTCCAAGCTTATTTCTTGGATTTCTTCTCATTGTGCTCTCCATTGCCCTTTTCTGTCCAGTCAGTGTGTTAACCTTGGCATCTCCACTGTCTGCACTTCCCACCCTTGTTCTGTGCTGCTTCCTGTGGTTTCAGTCCCAATGTGCTGTCGTTTTGCCCTTTCTTCCTTCAAACTCAGCCAGGTTCATTGATACCATCCTGTATTAGTTCAGTTTTCTTCCCTAACTCATGGCAGAAAGGAATTTTTTGAAAAAATCAGTAAAGGAAAAGATAAACTATAATGCAATGCAGAAATCGAGTCCTGGAATAATTTAGGGTAAAAAGAACCTTAAAGCTCATCTTGTTCCACCCCCTGCCATGGGCAGGGACTTTTTCCACTATCTCAGGTTTCTCCAAGCCCCGTCCAACCTGGCCTTTGACAGGGATCTAGGGGCAGCCACAGCTTCTCTGAGCAACCTGTGCCAGGGTGTCACCACCATCACAGGGAAGAATTTCTTCCTTTATCTAATGTCAACCCATCCTTTGTTAGTATGAAGCTGTTCCCCCTTGTCCTGTCAATAGCCAAAATTTTTTCCAAGCAACTATTTAATCTCATTTTTTGCAGGTTTTGGGGTATATTTTCTCCAGTTTGCATTTTTCTTTGTCACTCTAGTGCTGAGCAGGGATTTCACATCACCCCCAGGAAGCTTTTCCTGCTCAGCTTTGAGCCTGGCACCCAGGTCATTAGGAGGTCCAGAGGTCATTACTCATGGTGACAAATAAGTAATGACTTACCTAAAACCATTTTTTCCTCCTAGTATGGCTCGTAATAAACCTGAGCTCATATCTTAATTGGCATTCTGTGTGACAGGCCCTTTAGAACCATCAAATATTTGATGAACAAGGCAATAACAGTCATTTCTTACTTTTGTAAGCCTTTCAGATCAGCATTGACCCAGGTTGATGAAGATGGATACAGGATCTATGCCCTAGGAAGTGTTTGTTCTGCAGATACAGGTTATCTAAGCAGAGTGTTAGTTAGCAGAGATATGATATAATACACATGATCTAGATGGATATTTGGGGAAGTTGATGAGTTTTGAGGTTGGCAGCCAGAATTAGAAGTTTATCACATTAGTGATTTCAGTTTGGCAGTAATCTTGAACACAAAATTCATGTAAAAATAGAAAGAATGGGAATAACAGTAGGAAAAAACACCTAGAACAAAAATATTTTAAAATAATAAAACATTGCATAAATAAGTTCTGAATCTGAATTACTAAAATGGTGGATAGCAAAAAAACCCAAACAAACAATTCAGAAACAAGCTGTGTTGAAAAGTAGTTTATTAAATTTTATTATGTGCAATAGATACCTAATCTCAAATTTTCTTTTTTTTTAATCTCCTGTGATAAGAAATATCGGACACAAATGTCCAAGTCTCTGCAGCTCTCTGCAAGTTCAGGATTCACTTTGCTTGGAAGCAGTGCTAGCCAGGGGCCAGGAGATGCTCACAGGCTTTTGGTGAAATGCAGGGAAATCTGCCACTGGTTACAGTAGGGTCAGGATTTCATATTACACATTTAAATACATTCATTTTCTGATAGCCTGGGAAGTTACACAAGGCTAAGATAGCAGCTTGTTAGTGTTGTTTGTGCCTGCTTTATCTAATTGAAGGATGTGTGCAGTGTTGTGGACTGTGGAATAGCAGGAGTGCAGCGGCAGGACTGGGGTGCAAGGGTAGAAACAACATTTCATTATAGTGGATACCTAATAAAAATGTGAAAATAAAACAGAAAAAGGCTGGGAAAAATAAAGAAAAAAAAAAAGGAAAAGCAGACCATACTAGATAAGTGCACTGCATAAATCAAAAGGGTTTATGTCATAACATGAACATGTGCCATTCCTGCTCATATATTGAATTTCAGTAGTTGGTTGCATAAAGAAGTAAAGTGTAATGAAACTGGCAAGCAAAGTATTCCCTAGTCAGCCTTATCTTTGTTCCATTTGTCCTTCAGATACAGCTTTTCTTGCCTTTTTCAATAAAATTCATCCAGCTTTTTTTTCAATTTTGCATCTCTCTGTAACCGAGCTGGGAAGACCAATGAGATTCGGTGCTTTTCTAGTTGGGTTCTTAGCAGCTGCTTTTTAAGAGATCAAAACTTCGAATGCTGCTACATGGTATTAAGGCTTAGCTATTGATGTGTCCCTATAGGGGTTATGTTTTTCTTGGGGGGGAGGGAGTGGGGAGCAGGGGAAGGGGTGACCCCTGCGAGCACGCTCTCCAGCAGTAAACACTGCTCTCCTTGTTTTCCAGGATCCTCTTTGCAAGCTCCGTGCTTAACCTGGCTGAACTCGCCGCCCTCCGCCCTGACCTTGGCAAATTGAAAAAGGTCCTCTACTTCCATGAGAACCAATTGTCATATCCTGTCCAGAAATGCCAGGAAAGGGATTTTCAGTATGGATACAACCAGGTTCTTTCATGGTAGGTGTGGCTCACACTGCTCCTCGTTATTTAAGGTGTCCTCCTGTCTACAGCATTGTCACCCTGAGGAATCCTTTTCCATAAACATTTTCTATATTAATTATTTTTCTACATTTTTTTTTGTATGAATTGTTTTGTATTAATGTTTTACAAGACCATGTGGTGACAGGAAATGGGGGATTGACTTCAAACTGAAAGAGAGTAGGTCTAGGTTGGATATTAGGAAGAAACTTTTCCCTGTTAAGGCAGTGAGGTCCTGGCACAGGGTGCCCAGAGAAGCTGTGGCTGCCCCTGGATCCCTGGAAGTGTCCAAGGCCAGGTTGGACACCGGGGCTTGAAGCAACTGGGAGAGTGGAAGTTGTCCTATGGCAGGGGTGGAAGAGCTAATGGGATTAGCTTTTAGGTCACTTCCAACCCAGGCTATTCTGTGATTCTATAAACAATGACCCTGTAGCAAACTGAGGTACCAGCAGAGTTCTGAGAAGAGCTTGATAAAATCAGTGTGGCTAAACCACTTTGCTCTAAAAAATTATCTCCATTTATTATATAAAGTCCACCAATGCTGCCATGGTGTACACGTTGTTGGTGGGATTTCTGACCTGTGCCTTGGCTGAAAGTGATGCTTTGTTTCATGGATGCTTCACAAAGCTGCAGCTACTCAGCTCATGCTTGGCCGTAGCTTTTACTGCATACAGCTGAAATTATGGAGAGGGTTTTAGGGAAATAAACAGAAATTAAAATGTACTGCAGCACTTTTCCTGTGAAGAGAGGGCAGTAAACATACCAGATAAATCCTTATATTTCTTTCATCTAGTATTCAGAAATTGTGCAGTGCTAAAATACCCAGACGTTTTAAAGGCTGCGGTCCTTTATTGTTGCTAAAAACAAATGTATTTCTCGAATCTGAGTTAATGAAAGAAGTTAATAACAGCACCACTGAAAAGCTTTGTGGTTAGGCACTGCACAGACCTAAGTGAAACAGCAAAACTCACTTGTTTTAAACTGAAATAAATTCATTTCCATGATCTTTCTCACCTCTCTCTTGGTGGAAGAATTATTAAGAATGGGGCTTAAGCCTTTTAAGGTGCAAGTTAAGCTTTTGCATCTTTATAATCTAAGGCAGTTATGTTGAAATTTCTCAATTAATGATCTGTGTATGCCATGGCCATTCTGCAGCTGCCTCTGCCACAGTGTTTGCAACATGTTTCACTTACTGAGCTGTAAAGATGGGAAAGTGAAGTGAAAGGTCTTTTGAAAACAGTGGCAGCCATTTTCAGACGTTCTAACAAAAAGAAGTGTTTTCTGGTGCTGGGAAAGGAATATTTTTTGTAAATATATTTTGCTTTATTGTGGCAGTTGTTTTTCATACATCTGTTGTAAACTGACAAACATTTATCCTCAAAATATGCATTTTAAGTATCTTCTCTTATTAGATGAATTAAGGTGATTTTCACAGATCATAGAATCATGGAATGGTTTGGGTTGGAAGGGACTCTCAAGCCAATCTCGTTCCAACCCCCTTCCATGGGCAGGGACACCTTCCACTAGACCAGGTTTCTCCAAGCCCACCCAACCTGGCTTTGGACACTTCCAGGGATGGAGCAATAGATGCTCCATTCTGTCTCCTTCAGCTTCCAGTATCTTCTTCATGTAGTTACATAATATTCATCTCCCATTTCTGTTCTGCTGAAACCCCAATTTAACAGAAAATAGAAGCCATGTCCTCTGTGTTATTCTTCACACTGCAGTGGTCATCTGCAAAGAGATGCCATCTTGTCATCTTCTAGGTATATTAGAAATGGGGTAAATGTACCTTTCCACTTTTACACAGAGGTTTTGGAGATAATTAAAATTAGAGCACTTTGAACCTTCAGGTTGGTGCTTTGGATCATTAAAAAATCATAATTCTGATGTTTCTAAGGAGTTCATCTTTCGAATTTGCCCCTGATTTGCAGAGCCTGCAGGAAGGAGTTAGGGCAGTAAGAGTTCATGCATGAGAGAAGTTGAGATGATGGTGTTGGAGCCTTTGCTGTGTGTCAGAGAGCAGCAAAGAAACGTGTCAGGTTCCTGCATCATGTCATCTGTAAATCAGTGCAGAAAAGATGACTTCTGTACAAAACTGAGGCATCCAACGGGTTAAAAACCATATGTGGGGAAGAGAGAGGGTAAGATGCCAGAAAGCATTTCAGCTCCTGCAGCCAGCTTGAAAAGGATTATTTCTCTCTAATGTTGGGGTTTCTTTGCTTTTCCTGCTGACTCCTGCTGCTTTGGTGAGCAGTGTCAGTTCTCTTTCTTGACCAGACAACAGAAAGATGCAGAGAGGATGAATGACAGCCTCTCACCTCAAATATTCTTTTCACCAGCCCTGTGACTTATGAACACATGTCCTCAATGTATCTTCTGACCTGTAGGTCTGTATTACAATATATAACATATTGAGAAAACCAACTGGCCATAAAGCATTTCTTACCTCAGTTAGTGCTGTGTGTATTGGTGTAGCTCAGGTTGTGGTAGCACTGCCTGGATAAACTTCAGGATTTTTATAGCTACTTATTTTCTCCAGACTGACTCTAATTTGAGAAATAATACCTGCATTATCACTGAACTCCATGTTAAAATTATTGATCTGGTCGATTTCAAAACACAGTAGTAGAAATAAAACATTAAATTTATATGCCATTTTTTTTCAAACTTTTATGAGGGGAGGGCTATTGTATGCTCTGTATTTTATTTTTCTATATAATGGATACACTCTTAATCAGGATTATGTCTGCATAGGTTAAAATGACATTCCATTTCTTTAGTGTCTTGCTGCCTGACACACATAGTCAGTTGAAGGTAGGTTAACCTAAGGTAAGTTTTTCTTCAATAAAAAATATTTCTGAGGAATTTTCATTATCTTCCAACTTGAATTCTACAAAAGTCAGATTACAGTGGGCCATATCTGTTTATAATGCTTCTGAGAGATGATGATAGTAACACTATACTTACCATTTTATCAATAAAACTCCACAGCTAGAATAGGATGTGCTCCTTTAGATTAATCATAGTAATTAGTTATTAGTTAAAAAAGGTTAAACATGTTTTCAAAGGATGAATAGAAAGAAATAAAAACATTTCTGGTTAAGGTACTTATGCTACTCCTAATTCACATGAAAAGGCTGATTTTAATTAGCATCCACTTGCACCTTTTGCTCGTTTATGAGAATATGTATCCTATTTCCTTTGCCTGTAGAATAATTCTGTTCCTTTTGTGGCAGCAATATGTTCATTAATCTTCACCACTTTTTACAGTTTGGTTGCTGATGTTGTGGTGTTCAACTCTGCTTTTAATATGGAATCCTTTCTTAAATCCATTGGAAAATTTATGAAGCTGATTCCTGACCACAGACCTAAGGATTTGGAAAAAATAATCCGACTGAAGTGCCAAGTTCTTTATTTTCCAGTCAGGTTTCCTGATGTGAGCAGGTCAGTGCATTTTCCACGTCATAAATTGCCTCCAGCCTGTCAAAACTCTGTATTTATGATGACGTTCTAACTAATCAGCTAAAGCATCGTTAATGAATGAGTTTGATAATATGCAAAATCCCCTAATTGATAAATGTATTTCAATAATCAGAGGCTATTGAGGCAGCCGAGCCTGTCCTCAGTGCCTGTCGTGCAAACTTGCATTGTTCAGGATGAGTGATTTCCCACTTGTTTTAGTGATTCCCCACTTGTTTTAGTGATTCCCCACTTGTTTCAGCCTTCCAGGAGCTGCCTGCTCCTTGGCTCTGTGCGTGTTTGTGCTTGGGAGGTCAAGGACGAGACAGAAATGCTGGAGAACAGTGAAAGTGATAAGCCTGCAGCCAAGGGGCTATTTTATCCCCTCCTTCCTCCCCTACCTCTTTTTATGGCTTTCCAGGTAGGCAGAAGCATTCCTGAGGCAGGGAGCAGACTTGCAGATGTTGGCATTTGCTGCGGCAGGAGTTGCTCTTTGCTCCTCCTCTGTTACTCTGAAGGACGTTTTTTATTGCCCTCGTTTCAGAGCCCGTCTTGAAATTAGCAGTGGGTTATGTGGCTCAAAGGGAACATTCACAGGATCCTTTTCACTTTTGATTAAACCTGGCACAATTGTTTTTCCTGTTATAAGGGACTCTCCTCCCACCGAACAGGAACTTTGCTTCAGTGGGACCAGCACTAAATAGAGTGTGATTCTGCAATTTGATTATACTCTTAAACCCAATACCATGCTGGCTACATTTTTTTTGCTGAAATAAGGATGGGAAGCACTGCAGTGACTTTGCAAGAGCCCGCCTTTTGATCTGATAATAAGTTCTGGCCACACTTGAGATCTTTGTCCCTGACCAGCCTGTACTTAGAGTTATTTCAAAGGCTAAATATACATGTGTGGTAGTTTGAGGTAGAGAAATTTTTAGTGCAGGAGCTGAGGTCGTGCACTTGCTGATCTACTCAAACTGCAAGGTTTGAGTTTCAGTGTCTGGGAAAACTTAAATACTGATGCAAATCATTTAGAAACCAATGTCTAAAGTTAAATCTTTATATGTCTATTTTTGACAAGTGTGTTCAAATCTTCCACTCACTGTTTCTTTGGGACTTGGCTGCCTGGATGGCAGCATAGTTCAGTACCTGTATATCTTTGAGGATCTACTATTCTCTCTTAGAGTCCAGAGCTTTTGAGTGCAGAGAATGCTGTGGGTGCTCAGCATATTTGATGTGGAGCCAGTTCCAGAGGCTCTCGGGGTTTTGGCATACCTTAGGAATCATGTGGCCCAGACCTAGTTTTGGAGATGAAGTTATGATAACCCTGTCTCGTATATTACATCAGCTCTTTTGGACTTGTCAGCCCTGGCAGATGGGGTCAGACCAGATCTGACAAATTAGGCTGAAGTCATCATACACACAGCTCTCGTTTGTCCAAAGCAGGAGGTGATTAGCTGTGTAAAATCATTAGCCTGCTACCCAAACTGGTACAGTAGGAAGAGCTCACATGTCACTGGGTGCTCTTTTATAGTTCTGCTCTCATATTAAATCTCATCCCACAAGGCAGGACAGTTTTTCCCATTTTTATTGTGGTCGCTGCACTTGAAATTATATCAAAAACCTCTTTTCAACAGTGATGGGCAAATTAAGATGCTCATACACAACGGTGTGACAGTAAAACTTTCACAGCAGAGTGATTAGAAACAAAGATTAATGTCAGCTCTATTATATCTATTTTATTCAACAGCTAATTTTAGATGTATGAGCTGAGGTGTTTAGACACCTCAGTCTAAATACCAAGACAATATCAAGTCCAATATCAAGACAGGAAAAAAAATCTGAAGAAAGGGCTGCTTCTGCCTGACTCTGAAGTTCTTTGAGTTTTGACCTTCAGCTGCAGCCAATATTTACTATTTCTTTACATGTTTTACATAAAGTTGAATGCACCTGTGGCAATTCAAAGCTGGTTTTTTAATTTAGATTGTATTAGTATAGTGACTGAATGGAGATTGAGGAGAGAAAGGTTAAGAAAAATTGTGGCCAAGCTAAAATTTATAAGTCAAGCTCTTAGCCCAGAGTGTTTTTCAAGTTATTTTCAAATGGTAATTTGCTTTATCCAAACCAAACTCATACAGTGTAAGTAAGTGATTATTTGCATGACTGACAATCATTTCAGTGCCTGCAGTCTTTTTAAAATGCATAATTTTGCTGAGATGTTGGGAAAATATTTAAAAATTCTGAAGGCAAAATAACCAGGGTGGGTTTTTTTATTTTTTTTTATTTTGACCTCTTTTATTTTGCGTGTGAATGTCTCAGGGTGTGTTTGTGTCTGAAACATAATCTACATTTGGATTGGGGAGAGAGAGGTTATCTGAGAAATCATCCTCACACATGTGATGGGAGCTTTTTAAGATTATTTTAGATTAATATTGTAGTTGTAGGGCAAAATAAAATATATCTGAGCCTTGATCAAAACCAGTGTAAGAAGGATCATGTCACAGGAGTTAATCCTGTAAAATATCTACCTTTTAATGTAATTACTGTAGGTGATGGACACAAACAGCACAAGCAGCATAGTAAATGATCACTTAAGAGGGGAGGTATAATGATGAAGGATATCCTTGGAAACACTTGTAGATACTCTGAGAGACACCACTATAATTTGTAATGTATATTTAAATATTTCAAATGGGCCTCTAACTGCTGCTTTTCTGCTTCTGAGGGGAAGTTGTTGATGCCTTTTCATAAATAATCTTTTTTTTAATAAATATTTGTCATTAGGACACATGTTGGTGTTCCCAGAGCAAACTCAGCAGACTGTGGTCCTTATCTGACAATGAGAAGAGATGAAAGGATTTGAGGATTTGACAGAATAAGATATTTACTGACCTAATCCTCCTGTTTTCTGGTTCTGACAATGACTGGCTTCCATATTATATCCTGCAGTGCCAAGGCTGCTCCCTATATACCCACCCCATGTGATTTCTGACTTGAATTCTGATCTTTGTGCATTCTAGTGAAGTATATGATGTGGGAATAAATATCAGAGTATTTCTAAGCTTTGAGACAAAAACCTTCTCTGAGTTGAGAGCAGCTGATCTGCCATGTGTGCTATGTGTCAGACTGGGGGTTTATAGCACAGAGTTAAATACATTGTAATTCACACTTATCTGTCCATTGACTTAATTTCAGTATATTTTCTATTGTAACATAAATAAAATCCAATTTTTTTTCACTGTATGATCAATAGAGTCTATTTTGATATAATCTTTTTCCTCTTTTGCACTGTAAAATGATTGTCAAGGGAGAAATTCCCTTTTGACTAACGTGGTCTTTGGTACTTTTCTGCATGCCAGCAGAGCCTTCTGGAAAACTTCTGCAAGATCTTTGTTGGTATTTGGATATCCAAATGGTTGGATATCCAAATGTTGGTCTAGTGGAAGGTGTCTCTGCCTGGGGCAGAACTAGATGATCTTTAAGCTCCCTTCCAGCCCAAACCATTCCATGATTCTGTGATTTTATATGAGTTCTTCCATCCCATCTGTGCCCACATTGTCAGTGGCAGTTTGCAAAGCAGGGTCAGATTAGGTACTCCTTGGAATTCATTCCAATGAAAATTTTAATTTAGATTTTGGTTGTTATTATTACAATTCCTCTGATTGCAGTATATCTTCATTGTTATCACACTGTGGTAGGAAAGGAAGATGTTTTTATAAGCAAGAATGATGTAACATTCCTAAGAGCTCAAAATTCACATTGGACTGAGGTGGAATAATATAAAAGAAACATGGGAGTATGAGGATTACAGCAGAAAATAAAAACAGCTTTTTTTTTTTTTTTTAATGGAACTTGTTAGAGAGTATCATATACTATCTGCATTACACCTTTTGAAGTAGAATTTAAGATTTTAGACTTGTTTCTTCATTTGCTTTTATAACTTAGTACAGTTAACAGGATATTCTCAACCATTTGGACTTACATTTTTTCAGTTGTAGTGTGAAAGAGGCAGAATTTGCCAACTTAGAGAGTATTTTAGGGCCAGTCAAGGGAGTTCCTGAGTAAATTAAGTTTTTAAAAGACACCAACAGTATTTCTTGTGCTGAAGCATGTGTGGAGGAGCCTGTTTTGGGGAAATAAAAAAAAAATAAATTAATTGCATTACTTGGATCAGGTTTGCAGGGCTGAACTTAACTGGAAAAATGCAGATGTCAATGAGCAAGGAGAGACTTGAATTCACAGGAGCCCAAAGCTATGGATGGGCACTGGGGGCCTGTCTGCGTTGCAGGGAAAGATGCTCAGCAGTGGTACCCATGTGAGCTGTAGTGAACTGTCTTGCATGTGGGAAGCCATAGATAGCTTAGAAGAGCAGTTTTTGGCTAATTAGCCTTCCAGTGAAATAGCATATATTAGCTTAGGTGGAGTGCTAATGACAGTGACTCTGGTACTGGGGGTACCCACTGCCTTTGGTGGTGGCTCGGGCATCTCTGTGGTGCACTGTGCCCTCTCCAATGGCACAGCCTCACTGCCACCACAGTTTATGGGTCATTAGCATAATTAGATAGTGCCAGTAGACTGCTCCTACCTTGGGGCTTGCTGCTGAAGAGCTGGGTGATGGAAATTGCTCCCCAGAATGTCTTTCCTCCTCACCTGCTGCAAGCGGGATTTGAGGATCGGTGTTGGCACACTGAGAGTTACACAAAGAGCACGAGGGATGCTCTCAGGATCTGGGACACAGATCCTTCCATGTTGGAAGGAAAATGCAATGTGGGCTCAAAAGGGACATAAATGGAGTCTTTCCACTATGGAGCAGTTGGCAGTGGGGTGGTTCCTCTTGCCCCTCTGGGATTAGTGCTAGCCCAGGTAGCTGCACCTGCAGTGAGGGCTTGGGTGGTTCAGTGAAGGACACTTTCATTTTCAGTAGTGTTTACTCACATGATGCTTCCTCCACACACTCATGCTGTGCTGTCTTGGGTGATGTAGGAGTTTCCATTCATCCTCTGGATCAGGGAAGAGCTGTTACCCCAGCCTTGTCTTCTAGGCAGAACATGCCAGTTTTATCCCCAAAATGTTTATCCCCAGACCACTCAAGCAGCATCAGAACAAGAACACTCTCCTAGAGAAGGGCCTGGCTGAAGAGTCTGCTGGGATGTATTCATTCTGCAAAACTTGCTAAAAAGTAATTTCTTTTTTATCTATTCAGGGACAAAAATAGTTTTACTGACTCTCTTTTATCTGTCATATAGGTATTTCTCTAAATGCTATCATAATAACCATTTAGGCTCACAATAGCTCACAAGGATGCTTAAGCAGAATTCTCTGTGCAACCCACTTTTTTATTATGTTGGGTACTGCTCATGTTGCATACAACACATTCCCATAAAACTTGCTTTTTGTATTTACAGAGAAATTTCTCTGGAGAGTTAAGGTCTTGTAAAACATTCTTGTTCTACAGCGTGAACGAATTATCATACTCTGGGGAATTAAAAGTGAAGTGTACTGAAGAAAAGAATTTTTTCATTAAAATGCAGTTTATATTGATAAAACAGATTACTAGCATTTGATGAAATGTGAAACTTGGATCTACCCATATCGCTAAATCACCAGTAGGTTTATTTTGGCAAGAAGAATAGTATGTAATGTATATCAGGACCAATCGTTATACACTACCTGTTAGTTTTGTATTAGATTAAATTGTCTTTCACTAAAGTACTTGGAAAAAACCCTACTATATCTGTATCGTGAAGTAGCAGAATGTGGTAACCAAGAATATTAGAAAATAAAAGCTGTCGTGTTATCAGTTTTGGCACAGTCATTTATCAATCAGTATTTTAAACATTGACAAGTGGTAATTTAATAGGGAATGACCCTGTTGGCAGGAAGTTCTAATGACAGATGATGCAAACTCATTTATCACTATGGGGCTGTGCTGGCTTCTTACCTTTCTCAGTATCACAGCTCATATTTTCCAAGTCTGGGATGTGAGAAGCCACAGAGGGCAAAACCTGTGGCACTGAGCCTATAACCACTCCCATCTAATCTGATTAACCCCTTAGCTGCAAATTTCTCTGCAGCAGGGCTGGTAAGAGCTACAAGTTTTCATACTGATTTAAATACCATTTGCTTTTTAAGGAGGATTTTCCATAATACTTTCCCATAGGCAGTTTTTCAGAAATATTCAAGTTGTGTCACTTTGAATACACAGTTGAGACGTGCTGGTGCTTGGCTTTCAAAAAACAAACCACATACTAATAATTAATAGCACATTTCATTAGCAGGCATTAAAAATATTGCATGCAGTGCCCTATACAATGGGCAGCTATTATTATTATTATCATTACTACTCGAGGAGGAAATTGATGCATTCAGAGGTTTAATTGATTCGTGCATATTCATGTGGGAAGTCAGTGGTAGAGTCACGACAGGACTGGATTATTATGCACTTCCATGCATAATAATTTCTCTGCAACTTGGGAAGAGAATAACCTACCTTGTTTTAATAAATGTGGGCATTTGGAGTTGAAGGATGTCATGGGAGGAGGGATGAAAATGACACCTTCATCAGCAACTGGTATGGATGGTGCTCCTCAGTCTTCTGGGATTCCATCTGGAATACAGTCATGCAACTATACTTACTCTGAATTAAAACAATAATGTGGTTTTACTTTAATTTCCACACTAGTAAAAGTTTTGATCGATTTAATATGAATTTATGTTATCTTTTTTTAAAGCATCATAAATTCAGTCTTTCATGGGGCTTTCTTCACCTTCCTACCTCAATTCTATCTCTGTTTATTTTCTTCTCCTTTCACAACAGAGTCTCCTGAGTCTGGGGTTGGGTTAAATATCATTCCTGTTCAGGATGGTTGAGACATTAAATACTTTCAGAGTTTGCATCAAATTGTTGTCATAAGAAACAGTGACATTTATATTTAATTGATTAAAATTGTCACAACAGACTTAAAATAAGGCTGAGGGGTTTTTTGGTTTTTTTTTCTGGGTTTTTTTGGGGTGTTTTTTTGTTTTGTTGTGGTTTTTTGTTGTTTGTTTTGTTTGGGGTTTTTTTTGGTTTTTCTTTTTTTGTTTTTTTCTTTTCTTCAAAGTGGAAAAAGGCTATTGCTTAATGGTAGGAACCTGCGAAGTACTAAATACCCTCATTTTACCTGCAGTCAGGGGAAACTGAGGGCTTTTGGTGGGAATACAACATTTAACAGGGATAGAAAAAGGTGGCACAAAACTAACTCTGGATATTGAGTGGTCTGACTGTGTCCAGGTCCTTTTCAATCCATAGGAACTTAAATCATTTGCATGTGTGAAAGATGGTTTTTATACACAAGGCTGTCCCTGCTGGATTTTGCATTTCAAAATACTGCCCTTCAACGTTTGAACAATTTCATATTTTTTTATTATGAAATTCATGAATATTGCATGGAAGTGAAGGTGGATTCTTTTTTTTTTTTCCTTTAAAGGGATTTCATGCTTACAGGATTGTAACAGAGAGGGAGGCAGTCATGTTGGGCATCTTATTTCTTAGTTGCTACACGAGGCAATGACAGAACCTTATTGTTTAAATATTCTGGGTACTTAGAATACAGTATAAAAGAAAGCAGGTAATGTGCTAAAAATTGCAGAAAATATAAAGACTAGGAAAGGAAATACGAGATTTTAGAGATTCTTCACTAAAAATGAAGAATGTCAGAAATTAGTTTTGAAAGGATGAAAGAACTCCTGTTCCCAGTTGTAGAGGAATGGCAGTACCTTTAGAAAAAGCCACATTTCATCTTGAATGCAGCATTAGTTTGGGGAGGAAAAAGCTAAACCAACGAAAACCCAAACAAGCAGCACCTTTTAAAAGAGTGGTGGAATAGATTGCCTTGCAAATTGTTATTAAATGTGAGAGGGAAACTTTATGTGTGTTGGATCTGCTTCAAGCACTGTTGTGTGCAAGATTGCAGACAACCCATTCCAGTTACAGTCAGAGGTATCGTCAGATGGAAGTGTCAGTGGGGAAGATATGAAGATGTTCTATAGGAATTTTAGGGAATAGAGAATAAGAGAAGGAAATTGCATGCTGGAATACATAAAATCACATATTGAAGAGGAAACTTGAAGCATAGCTCTCCAGTCCTATGGAGATGACCTTTATGTAACGTGTAAGAACAACTTAATGCAGATGTTTTATTTATACATAACCAAATGGGATGAAGTTAAATGGTTTTTAATTTTGCCAAATCACAGATAATTTCTTTGTTGTGCAAGGAGTGTTTTAATCTAGTTAGGGTTTTTGTGTATGTATGTGGTTTTGGGGTTTTGGTTTGCTTTTTTTTTTTGCTTTTGCATTTGCAAATGCTTAATATTTTATATTTTGGACATTCCCCCTGCTCAGTTGTGACTCCCAGATGAAATAATCCTCCTCTTCTTCCCTCTAAATAATTCAGGTAGCATACATTTAAAAATACGAGAATCCCAACATAAATGTGCCAGAAGTGCTTTTAAGGTAGGAGGTTGTTCTGCTTTACTATGGAAAAGATGCATCTCTAAATGGTAATGAGGCTTCATCAGGTCTGGGCTTACAAACACCAAGTCATAGGGATGCTTGGTGGAAGAACTCTGGGAGATCCAAGTCCAGGACTGTTTTCCCAGCCTCGTCTTAGAATGGTTTGGGTTGGAAGGAGCCTCAAAGATCGTCTTGTTCTACCCCTGCCATGTGCAGGGACACCTCCCACTATTCCAGGTTACTCAGGGCCCCATCCAGCCTGGCCTTGGACACTTCCAGGGATCCAGGGGCAGCCACAGCTTCTCTGGGCACCCTGTGCCAGGGCCTGCCCACCCTCACAGCCAGGAATTCCTTCCCAATATCCCATCTAACCCATAATAATCCCATCTCTTGGAGCCCCTTTAAGCACTTTAAGGAGCTCCAAGTTCTCCCTGAAGCCGTCCCTTCCCAAGGCTGAACACTCTCAGCTTTTTCAGTCTGTCCATACCATAGTAGAGGGGCTCCAGCCCTTGAAGCATCTTCGTGGCTTCCTTTAGACTTGTGCCAACAGCTCCAGGTTTTCCTCAAATATGTAGGAAAAAAGATCTTGGGGTTAGATTTCCTTTTTTAGTAATGGGATATTTTTTGTTGAGAAATACTTATCTGTTGCAGAATCGTTTTGGACATTATAAAACAAAGTACCATTATGTTCAGTCTGTTTTTCAAACAACGTTACAGGCAATAACAACAGCCAGGAAGAAGGAATTAGGTATTGAGTTGAATCATCCAGTGTGTGGTAAATTTTAGAGTGGGCTCCTCATTAAATGGTGCCATTTTCCTTTAAGGTGACTCCTAAGTAGTGCTCAGGTCAGGCTTGCAGTAAGCTGAACTTAGTCCATCTGTGACCTGCTATGTATATTTCTTGCCCCCACACAACCCTGAGACTTATCATCAGACCACATCCTCTCTATATTCATTAGTGCCCAACCAGCCAGGGGAGTAGTGATTCCATATGATCATGGAAAGGCTTGGGCTGGAAGAGACTTTGTATCATGTTAGTGGTGTGTGATGTCTCACAACCAGAACCCTCATCTTTCCACTTGTGCTTCCTTATCAGCTCTTCCTGTCTGGAAGCCACAGGTCTCTTTCTGCTGGTTCTGCAGAGGTTGAAGAGCCTCAGATTTAATTTCTCCAGGATGGATTTGGCTTTAGGTGTGTTGCCCTCTCCATAGCAGAATACTCATCATGAATGCTCTGCAACAGGATTACATCTTCAATTCTATGACTTTGTCACTCAAAAACCCCCCAAGCTGTTCAGAGCCATGTTCTCCTTTGAACTCTTAAGCATTTTCCATCTGCACCTGATGGTTCTCACAGGTGTTAAATAGAGAAACAGGCAGATCTTCTTTCCCTTGGTCACTTTGATGTGATAAAAGGTGAACTAGTCTATGTGGCTGTGCAGGTATTGCCACAAATTCGCTGACATTTAGTAATGCAGCTAAATAGCTGAACCATACCAAATATAAATATATATATATATATATATATATATATATATATATATTTTGTTTTGAAAAAGTGTATTTGAGTCTCATACACTATAGAAAAGATATTTTAAATGTACAGATTGATGTGTCTCTGTAAAGCACTGGAAAAAGAAGTATGTTGTTCTGGTCACCCGTGCTCAAGAAAGATTAATTTAAACTGTGAAACAGGTGTAGAGAATTGCTGCTAGGATGATTAGGAGAATCTGTATTATGAGAGCAGATTAAAAGAGTATGGTTCACTTGTCCTAGCAAAATAAAGGTTGAGAAGGGGATATATGTTAATCTTTATAAATACAGTCAGAGGATAAATGCCATGAAAGAGGAGGAATTATTTAAGTTTCAGGATAATCCTTACAACATCCACTAGGTATAAATTGGTCATTATTAAATGACTGAGACTAGAAGTAGAAAAATGGGTGTGGAGGGTGGTTGCTTGGTTTGATTTTTATTTTCCAGAGACACATTTAGTTGTGAAATGACTGTTGAAACACTATTGAAATACAAGTTTGATAAATTCATGGAAGGGTTGGTTAAACAATATAGGAGTAGTGCCAGGCAGCTGCAGATGTTTTCTGTGATGGTATCCCCAAAATGAAGGTGAAAAAAGATGGATGGTGAATTGATCACTTGGTGATTTCGGTCTTGAGACCTGAACTGGTCTGTGAAGGAGATCTTGAGTTTCCAGCGTTGGTACAAGACACAACAGCACAGCCTGTTCTGTGTTCTGCATAGTGTTTATCTTGTAGATCATTAATCACATGTTTAATAAATGTGCAGTGTCCTGCAAGGTACATCCAGCTCGTCTGTCCAGCCTCTGACTGCATTTGGGATGGGCTGAATTTTTATTAGTTGGATTCATAATGACCATTGTGGGAAGGGAAAAAAAGTGAGGGGAATGTTTTTGTCTGACTGTACTGGATTCATCTGGATATTTGAGTGCTTTTGAAGAAAAAACACATCATGGCCAGTGCTTCTTGTCCTTCCTCTTCTTTGCCTTTGCAACAAGGGTATTTTTGAGGCATCACTCCTAGAATCATAAAATCCTGGAATGGTTTGAAAGAGGCTCTGAAGACCATCTGGTTTCAACCCCCTGTCATGGGCAGAGACATCTTCCACTAGACCAGGTTGCTCCAAGCCCCATCCAGCCTGGTCTGGAACTCCTCATGGGATGAGATGTCAACAAGTTCATGGATATTGTTGTTTTTTGGAAGCCTGGGCATCCCTCAGAAGACAAGTAGAAGCAGTGCCAAAGGGTTGACAACCATAGGGATTTGGGAAAGCATTAGGTGAGATGTGCCTCAATAAAAAACATCTTCAAGCAAAATGTTTGAGTCTTGTGGCTCTCTAAGCATACTTTTCTGTTTTGCCTCAGTTTACTTTTGCTCATTGAAGCATTTGGATAAAATTATTCCATTGAGCTCATTGGAGTCAGAATGAGTTTATTTCAACTTTATTATTTTGATGAGTCTGTAGGGCTCTTTCACTATCATCCTTATGTAGAACAGTTTTAATACTAAAACTGCCTCAATCTGTGCTAGAAGCAAATAGAGGACAGAAAGAAGAGCTTTTTATACAGTAATTCCTTTCAGTGACTGAAATTTATCTGTCCTTCCTCAGACTTCATCACATATCTCTTGGATTCAGAGTTCATTTGTGTTATCTGCCATCTGAGTTTGAATTACCCATCTTGAATGATGTGACTATATATGGAAAAGGGAGGATTTTACCCTTTTTGCGTGCCTAAACTGTTGTCTTTTTGTTGCCAATAAATGGATGGATCAGCTGACAGGGTTCCTGGTAAATGAATCGTGATGAAAAATTACAAAAAAAACAAAACAAAACAAACAAACAAAAAAACTGTTAAAAGGTAAAAATTTGTTTTTTAATTTCATTTTCTAGTGAGACCTTGTGTGAGATCCATATAGTTGCCTGATATCAGGACATATTTATGACAGTAAACCAGTGTATCTCTGGTTCTGGAAGCAGCTGAGCTCTTTTCAGTGGTACCCAGTGCTGGACTTGTCAGCACATCTATACGTTGGCAACTTATTATTCCACGAGCATCACTTCATTTGGGCTGGCAATAAGTCCTGTTCAGTCATTGTGCTGCAGAGGAATGTTTAAAGCTGCGATGTGCATTGGAGTCTGTTTGTTTGCAGCAGCTGATTTGCCTAAGCTTTGATGCGCAGTCACTTTCTGACATTTGTGTATTTCAGCAGTGAACAATGTAAACTCATTTTCTGAGCACTTTGATTACTTGCACATAGCAGTGCCCATGGCATGTGACAGAGAAGAGCACTCTATCCACTAATCAGATAGATATGCTTCAAGCGTATTTACACAAAATAATGAAAACAGCTGTTAGATACCTTTAAACTTGAGTGTGTTTTGTTATTAATCTACTAGCCCGTACACATGACACTATAATTCTTCGCTCACTCAAGTTGCCTTTAATGACACAGTAATAAAACGGAGAGGGATGAAAGTAATGGAATTGTAGAATGTAATGCCTCAATTGTTCTACAGTGTCTTCCTTTTTGCCAAAATAAACCACAATTAGGTCCATATGGTGTTTTGAAGTTTTCAAGCAATGACCCTAATAAAAAGTAATGAATTTCTGACAAAAGAAAGCATGGTGCTCTTTTAAGCAGATATCTTTGCTATTGATCTAGTTATGATTGCAGACTGATATGCTAATAGAAGAAGAAAGGTTCAACGTGCCTGGTACAAGCACTTTCATTTGTGGTTTATTTTATTCTTATGAAATTCAGATTGAAAAGGTAGAAACATGTTGTAATCCATCAGTTATGACTCCCTTTTAAAAGACCTACTATAAAGAAAACAAATGGATTTTCCTTGAGGAAAAGATGGAGAGCATTTGTTAACTTGGAATTCCTAAAGTGAATGCTAACTAGGAGGGTGCCTCACAGTGATGAAGATGCTTTGTTTGGATATATGAAATTTGACTTGAGCACTTCGGTGTCTTCAGAGGTCTAAGCTCTATTTACTTTTTTTCTCTTTTAACCTTTTTTGAATTGGAATGATGTGGTTACTGCGTTGCAAAGACAGAGAAAGGACAGCAGCACACACGGACCTCTTCAGGGAAAAAAGGCCAACTTTATTGTACTGACAGCCCGTATTTAAAGTGTGTTATATGGAGCTAGGACAGGACAGTAGTTCATTGGACAATTGGGCAAAACATCCTTGGGACAGCACCTCAGGATGTATCCCACAGGAAAGATACCAGGTGCTAATGTTGATGATGAATTCCACTCTGTTTGTCACCATGTTATCACCCTGGGACACTTCCTCCCTAACTGAAGCTGCAGTCAGCTTGTCAGCCTGGGAATGGAGCTGGGAGTCAGGAGAAATCCAGGTCTGAAAAGAATTTCCAAGCTGTAATTCCCTAGCTCTCTAAATGTGTGTGTCCACAGAATGATATTCCTGTTCATGTAGAGAATCAAAGTATGTGCAGAGCAGTTGTTGGGTAAGTGGAGATACTCAGACAAAATAACTGGGGAGGACGTGCAGCTCATCCTCCTGAATAGCTGTGGGCAACCAATAAACAAGTTTGATGTGTCAGCATTATTCCAGTGCAGTAATAGGAATGCCTGAAGTTGGGGTAATGTAGTTGTAATAAAGAGAGAAGGAAAGTTCTGGAAGCAGATACAAGGACAAAGAGAAAATAAGTGGCTGATTTGATGGACTTTCTTTGCTAGAGGTTGTTGAATGAGTGTTCATCCCACATACAGTCCTGAATTCCTCCATTGAAAAGCATCTGCTGGGTAATGTGTGCTATTGGCATTATTTCACTTCAAGAAGAGTAGCTGAAGCCTGTAGTCTCACAGTGGGAAACTATTCAGAGCATCCTGTCAATCCAATCTACCTTGTCTAACGTTAGTCACTGCTAGAAACTGTCTTGTAGTGGTTCCTCCATGGTAAATTAGGAGTACAGGTATTTAATGGGCTGGTTTCTCTATTTCATATTCTCTATCTGTTGAGCTGCCTTTCAGATTTCCCACTCAAGTCCCAACTGAACCTTTGGAAAATAATTGAATTATGGCCTCAACAACGTGTGCCATTTTTTATTCATTTTTGCCACCTTCGATATTGGTAATTTCTCCATCTCTTTATGTATCACATACGTGTGGGTGATTACTTTGCTAATTTTAATAGGAAAGAGTCTTGTTCAAGGTAGAACTTTGTTCTCCTCAAGGTATCTTACTTTTATAGGGTAAGGGTAAGTGAGTTCATAGAATCACAGAATGGTTTGGGTTGAAAGGCACTTAAAAGATCATCTTATTTCATCCCTCTGCCATGGCCAGGGGCACCTGCCACTGGACCAGGTTGCTGAATTGCTGTTTATTCCACCACTTTTCTTTCTGAAAATACTCTGATTTAATTTCTTGCATTCTTATTCTGGCTTCCTTGAGATGTGAATGATTAATCTGCTTTCTTGCAATTATGTTTAATGGCATTTGACTGGTGCTTAGGAACTGGGACTTACCTTCTGGAGGAGGATATGTACTGAAGGAGAAGTAATATCACTTCAGATTGTAAAATCTGGATTATTTATGTTGCTTTGAATTCTAGTAGGAATTAGTAGGAATAGGAACACAAAACTGAAAATCTTCACTTACCTTCCTGTAATCAAAATTTTTTTGAATTATATTTTTTCTTACCTCAAATTTTTATGTTAAAAACTTAAAGAAATGGTCTTATGCTGTGAAATAGGTTCAAATTTTCGACTGGCTTTAAGTTATATTAAAAAAATCCATCGAGTTTGTTTAGCCTAGGAAGTGTCTAAAATATTCCAGTTTCCCATAGCCAGTTGTAGATGAGAATTATTGGACTTTTCACCCCTCTCAGCAGGCTCTCCAGTCAAGCTGGATAGAAGCAATTAAACTTCCCCTCTATATCATAAAGAATGACAAACTTGTTGAAATATTCTTAATATTGGAAAAGGCTCACAAAAGGATGTGAACCTTCAAATGCTGAACTAAGTCCTTTATTCATGAAAATATAAGCACCTATTTCTGCAAGGTTGTCCTCCAATGAGAAATCTAAATACCATCAGATGACTTTAAAATTTCTGCCTTATTTTTTATTCAACTTGTTTGAAATTATTTGAGATTCTGAGGTATTTTAAAGGTCTTGGAATACCTGCAGAGGCTTCTATAAACTTTTGAAATTTGAATTTTTTTCTGTCTGTGGTATCCCAAGTTTTGTCCATTAATCTGGGACAGAAATCTGTCTGACCACTGCTGATTGTATTTTTATTTAGTGGGGTAAAGTGCCCAAAATATTCTCAGAACTGTATTATTTATGCTTTCAATTGCAATATGATAATACCAACATGTCAAAATAATGCAGCCAGTATTTTAGAAGCATTTATTAGCAAGAATTTTATAAACCAAGGTTTCTGTTGTTTAATAAAAGTGTGCTTATACAGACAGTTTTGAGGGTGACTGACTGCAGTCATGTAGATTTTCTCAGTCTGCCTGTGTGTTTGTAAGACCAGCTCCTTCATGAACAGTCATTATTATGGCAGAGCTCTTAGTAGTAGGCCAAAGTATTGTATTACAGATCTAATTTTTCAGTCCTTCATGCAAATCCCAAATGTTTCCTACTTTTTGACCTGCTTATATATAATTTTTTAAAATCAATTTTATTTAATTTCTTCTGGTATTTTTGATACATTCAGGCTCCTGTATGAACAATGTCCATTACTGTGTGATTATCAGAGATGGCGATTTTTAGCAGTAGATTCAGGGGACAAGTTTAAGGAAACATTTCTTGTACTGTGTTTTTGGAAACACAAGCTGGTTGTAGAGGTTACGTTCAGGGACTAGTACAGCAGCATTTGGGTAAATTGGGATATAAACAAACATCTGTTGCAGGAATGTACAAATGACATCATAAAGAATGTATGCAAAAACTTAATTGAAAAAGAATGATGCAGAATTGCAGCATGACTTTAAGTCTGAATTGATTTTTGCCTTCAGAGTGAAAGTGGGATTTCTGTGCAACATTCCAATACTATAAAGTATTTAAAATGTAATGTCCTATTAACGTCCCTAAAATGTAGACTCTGGGTCACCCAATAAGAATAGTAGTTACAGTAATACAGTATATGTAATATGCAATTATCTTGACAATAGTTTTATTTTTTCAACAATTTTGTCATAAAAGAGCAGTAAGATACAATGAATTTGATTCATTTTGTGTGTGTGAATCATTTAATAGGCCATTACATCTACTATATTAGACTCCATTCTCCTTTCAGAGCTTTTCATTATAAGCCTGTCTTTAATGGAAAGAAGTTTAACCTTCCCTCCCAGATAGATTGAACCCCATAACAGTGTAAACATTCTCATTATAAAATAAAATCCCCTTCCCCAAGGGCAGCACTATAATTATGTTGCAGAGTGTTGTACAAATGTTTCTCTTAAAAAATGTTGTCTCATTCTTGTCCTCAAGTTTTTATCATTTTCATTTATGAAGGGAATCAATAATGCTTTAAAATCGTAATTTAATAAAATAAATATGATCTGATTATTTTTTAATTTTTTGAAGTTATTTTAATCAAGTTTGAGAAGAAGTCATCAGTAAAATTGCTGTTGATTTATAAATAGGATAATTAGAGGCTTTCCTCCTAAGTACTGTTCACTGGCATTGTGGCTGTTTTTATTGCCTAGTCAAACCTCTTCATTCAATTTTAAAATTGCCTTTTGAATGAACTGTGCTATGAGCTTGCCAAATAGTGTCACCATTAATACCTTACCTCCTCTATTTCATTGTCCAGTCTGTAAATGCACAATAAATTGTTTGATAAGGAGGTCAATGAGGTTGTAGTAGTTTTTAAGTGAATTACGGCCGAACGTTTCAGATTATGTCACACTCTTGCTGTAGCTCTGGGTGTAAAAGGTGGTGATACACACTGTGTGGGAGATCATTTGGTGGTGTTCCTCCAGGACTAGACACAAATCAAGACGAGCAGGTTCTCTGCTGCTCTCAATGTAGAGAACAGATTTAAAAAAAACCACACCTTATTAATCCAATTCACAATTCTGTAGCGTGTCCCTTAGTCCAGTTAAGCAGGCTCTCAGTAGCAGGTGCACAATACAAGGATGGGTGAGGACAAAGATATTTGCAGTCAGGAGACTATTCCACTGCTTTGGTT